GCGTGTACCGCCAGAAAGTAGGATCTGCAGCAGGAGGTGAATGTGGAGGACGGCGACGAAAACTGAAAACCGTTGCAGTTTTTCTAGCCTCAGTGTAAGTGTGATGAGGTCTTTCCCGCACTCTTCTGAGGCTGAGGAGAAGGACGATGTCGAGGAGAAAAATCATATAAAGAAAAAGAGACATGGAGAAGTACGAACCAAAACATGAAAACCATTCTGGTTTTCCTAACCCTTGTCCAAGTAGTTTACCGCACTCTCCCAGAGGCTGAGCGATGTTGGCATCCAAGGTAGAAGGTGAAAAAGGAGCAGGATAATGTGGAGGAGCTGAAGTGGGAAGAAGGATGACACAGAGAAAAAGGTCATGAAGAAGGAGCAAAATGAGGAGGAGGGGTCATGACTAACAAAAGAGAAAGCAAAATGGTCATGTCAATAAAGAGAGAGGTAAACGAAATCACCATAACCTCCTTCTCCGACTTTTCCCCTCCAACTTCGTCACATCAGCATCCTCATCTTCCCTAAACCCCATTTCGTCATCATCATCATCATCATCATCATCATCATCATCATGTAATTATCTTTTCTTCCCTTCCTCTTCGTTCACCCATTCTCTCTTCGGATCATCATCGTTTCTTCATTCCCTTGCTTTCCTGTGATCTGCTGGACGTTACGAGGATATTGACCTCCATAGCTTCCACTTGGAACACGACATATGCAGAGGCTGATGTGGAGAAGCACGAAGAGGAGAAGAGGAGGACATGAAGGAGGAGAAGAGAAGGAACACGTGCAGGAGGATGACATTTGAAGGGAAAAATAAGAAGGAAGGAAATGGTGAAGTAAAAAATCCCAATTAGTCAAGAGAGCAAAATGAAGCCATTGTAACCCCCTTACGCCTTTTCCCATCCCGCTTCTTCCTGCCGTCCACAACGTCATAATATTCCTACCCCTCCCCCTCCTCAGCTCACCCTCTGATAGAAAATCCAAAGTAGTTCTCCTCCTGTCGTATTCTCTTTTCTCATCCCAATCCTCTCTCTCTCTCTCTCTCTCTCTCTCTCTCTCTCTCTCTCTCTCTCTCTCTCTCTCTCTCTCGACCTGTGCGAGTGTGTGGACACAAACATAAATCAACAAAAGTTGGCATAAGCTGGTGGTCTGGACTGAACCAACAATGTTAGTGAGAGAGATCGAAAGAACTGACACTCAAGCAGAGCGAGGGGCGAGTCTGCAATGACAGGATATGAGGAAGCCGAAGCTTAGGCCGGCATGGGGAAGAGATGGGTAAGAGCAGGTGCAGACTGATATAGCGACAGGACATCGAAAGATGGAGAATCGAAGGTAAAAGAGGGAGGAGGAGGAGGAGAGAGAGAGAGAGAGAGAGAGAGAGAGAGAGAGAGAGAGA